TTTTCTTTTTTTATATGCACTTATCATTGATGCAAGTTTTTTTCATTGTGTGCGAGTGATTTTGTCCGTGTGCGTCTATGCACCTGTTTGGGCGGATGTGCGTACGTGTAGGGTGTCGTGATTATTTGTCATTTTCATCGTTTTTTTTTCTCCACTTTACCCTCATTTCTTAGTCTTTTCCTTTTTTCCTTCCCCTCTTTTCTTTCAGTTGCCATTCGTTGCTATTTGATATCCGTTTTCTTTTAGACATATTGTTTTTAATTTTTGAGCGTTTGTATTTCGTTTTTCACATAAATAATTGGTTTTAATGCTTAAATGATAAAGTAAATATTTACATATGTCTTTACTTGGTTATTATTTCGTTTTCTTATTTGGTTTGGTGGTATCTTAAGTACTATTAAATTATTAATTGTAGGAGGTTACGTTTTTAATAAAATTTTAATTTATTATTGTTTGAATTTGTGGGCACATAAATATGTATATAAAACCCATGTATGTATTGATTTCATACGAGATTGCTACCAAATTTTGTTAGAGACACATTTAAACGGTTTTAAATCTAAATTGGGTCCCTGTAGGAGAAAATAGCAATAGGGACGATCAGATTCAAAATAATAAAAAATCCGGAGTTGTAATTCCAAGGGGTCATATATGAGTCTCGTCATATTGACAAGGCAAGAGGTGTCTCGTTTTCCACTCCGAGGAAACTTTGTAGTTGCCTTGACCACTTGTTGAATTGTATGAAACACAACACCATTACTACAGTAGGTCTTGCTCGAAAAAAAAAAAAAAAATCATACAAGTACAGTAATATAGCCACTAGAAACTCTCACACAAAGATATGCCTATATCCAATATAAGAAAATATCCCAGTTCGACAAATGAGGCAACACCGCTACAAACTGACCGTTGTTGTCATTTTTGTTAATGTTATCATAACGTTTCGACCGTAGAGCCCTCAGACTTCCTTCAGATATATATCAAAAAGGTTGTGATAACAGATTGATTGATCTATTCACTTTCTACGGCTTATCAACCAATTTTAAGTTATTTAAAACCAGGAAATATTTTTAGAGTGTAAGAATTTTTTTTTCTTTTTGAGATAATAAAGATTTAGTGATCCCAACCTTGGGTAAGTAGTAAAATAGACTGGTTTCTATAGTCTTGAGTGGCATCTAGTTTATGAAAAGAAAAGCTCTGAATTCAAAACCTGGCGAAACATATACTATGCAGCTAAGGAAAGGATCGTTCACATTGACATGATGATCCCGATTACAGTCGATACAAGTCATGCTAATTAATCCATAGCTGGGGAGGGTTCGGATAAGGTGGATTCATGACTTTCCCAGGGGTATTTTTAGTGTTCGACTTCAATTTAATAATATTTTATTTGTGATCTAATTTTATTGGTTAAAAAAGATTTCAATACATTTCCTACTTTACAGATTTTGTCGATCGCCAAGATCTGTACGTATGTACGTAGGAAATGTATTGGAATCTTTTTTAACCAATGAAATTAGTTCGATTATATATAAAATATTATTAAATTGAAGTAGAACATTAAATATTTGCGTGTAAATGAATATGACGACCACAACTGAAATTGGAACTCGGTTCTCCGATTAAAAAATTCCGAGCCACTATCCATTACACCACCCGCACATCCAAGCTTACAGTACTCTGTATTCACAAAACTCGTGATAACAACAACAAAGATGAGGAAAATAGTTCGAATATAAATAGCGTAAATATTTATAATTGTAGTTTTAGGTTATTCCCAATTATAAGTGTGTGTGAAATGAAATATGACTGCTTTCTTGAAGTCAGAGATTATTTAATTTTATTGTAAAAAATTTAAACGACTCGGATTGCTTACATTTTGTCAATGGTATCTTTATGGAATATGTCAGAAAAAAAATTCTCTTTCAATAGCTTGTCAGAAGAATTCGACTTTCATATAAACAAATTTTTATTACTTTAACTTCCTTTGAAATAACAGCATACCCTGATTGGTCACATGACTCTGACTCTTGAACATATTCAGCAAATATGGAATACATCGTGAAAAAGAATGCAATACTACATTCCTGAGCTGTAGAATAATAGGATTTTTATTGATTATTTTAATGACAGCCGCTTGGTGGTTACTATAAATTATTTCATGCATATTAGAATGATCATTTCTCGTGTTCTATTTTGTACAACTACCAACAGAAGATGACAGAGTCATAGAGTAAAGGAAAGAAGAAAAAAAGAAAAGAAAGAGATACTCCAAAGCAATGCATTTGTTGCATGAGAGAACTTATGACAAACGAAAAAAATTTAACTTGAGAATTTGTGAAATCTCTGTTTCACAAATATAATGAAAGAATTTATTTTTTCTTTTCAGTTCATTTTATTTTTAGAAAAAAAAAAGAAGATAATAGTAAAAGAAATAATTTTTTTTTCTTGATTTGTTAATTTCTCTTGTAACTCAATGCATTTTCACTCCTATCTTTGCCGGCGTTTCATTTCCCTGATTGCTGATTGGTTGTTTTTCACCAATCTATTCTTTTTTTCTTCCAATCATTTCTCTCTTTTCTTTCTTTCGTTTTTTTTTTATCTTTCTCTTCCTTCTCTTTCATAACTTTCTTTCCTTTCTTTTTTGCATCTGTCTCTCCTTTCTCTTTCACAGTTTTCTTTTTATCTCTTTTCTCTTTCATAGCTTTATTTCCTTTCTTTTTTATCATTCTCTCCTTTCTTTCATACCTTTCTTTTCTTTCTTTTTATCTTCCTCTCATTTCTCTTTCATCGCTTTCTTTCTTTCTTTTTATCTTCTTCTTTCTTCTATCATAGCTTTCTTTTCATTGTTTCTTGCTCTTAATTTCTTATTCTTTTTCTTATCTTACGATTTCTTTCTTAATTTTTTTCTTTTCTTTCTTTCTTATTTTATCTTTCTTATTATTCTTTACTTCTTTTCCCTAACTTTCATGTTGTTCTTTCACCACTGCTTATTTCTTTTTTTCTTTTTTTTTCCGTCTTTTTTTTTTTTTTGTCTTTTTCCTTTCTTTTCTTAACTTTTCTTTTTCTTACTTTTTCTTTCTTATCTTTCTTCTCTTTCTCCTCACTTGCCTTTTCTTTATTCTTTTTTCTCTTTTTTTTAACCTACTTTTCTTTCTTCGTTGTTTTCTTTATTCTTCTTTTTCTTCATTCAATTTTGTTGCTTTCTTTTCTTCTCCCTTTGTTTCTCTTTGCGAGCTTTCTTTCCTTTTCCTTATTTTCTATCTTACTCTTTTTTTTAGCCTTCTTTTCTCTTTTTCTATTGTTTTCTTCCTGTTTTTCCTTCCTTTTTTTCTTTTTTGTAATCTTTCTCTTTCTCGTTTGCCTTTCTTTTTTTTCTATTTTCTTTTTCTTTTCTTTTTTCTTTACCTTATCTTCTTTTCTCTTTCTTTTTCTCTTCTTCTTCTGCTACTTCCTATTTATTTTATTTACTTTCTTTCTTTCCGTCCATTTATTAAGTCTTCTTTCTCTTTGCTATATTGTCTTCTTTCTTTTCTTCTTTTTTCTTTCCTGTCGTTACTTCTTTCTTTTTTTTCTTTCTCTTCCCATCTTTCTCTTTTTAATTTCCTTTTCTTTTTTCCCTTTTTTGTTTATTCTTCTTTCTCTTTCAGGTCTCTTTCCTAAGGTGCCCCTTCTTTCATCTTTCTCATTCTTATCTTTAACTTTTTCATTCCTATATTCTTCTTTAACTGTGCTTTCTTTCCATCTTTCTTTTTTATTTTATTTTCTTTCTCTTTTTTTTCTTTTGCTTGATTCTTTTTTCTTTCCTTTCTTTTTTCATACCTTTCTTTTCTTTCTTCTTTTTCCTTCTTTTACTTTCCTCTCGTTTCTTTCTTTCTTTTTTATTTTATCTTCTTTCTTTTCTTTTATACCGTTCTCTTCTTTTTTTTTTTTTTCTTCTTTCACTTTCCTATCTATTTTTCTTTCATTTTTATTTCCTCTTCTTTGTCTTTACTTTATTTTTATTGCTGTATTTTTCTTTTTTTATTTTCTCTTTTCTTTCATGCATTTCTCCACTTTCGTTTTAATTTTTTCTTTCATTTTCCTCTCTCTTCTTTCTTTCTTTTTTTTTTCCTTTTCTTTCTCTTTCCTTTTTTCTTTCCTCTCTCTTCTTTCTCTTTTTAATGTTCTCTTCTTTCTCTTTCCATTTTTTTTTGTTCTTCTTTCTTCTAGCCTGCCTTTGTGGGTCGACCGTATTAAAAATTTATGATTATACATGGAAATACATCTTAATTAGTTTACAGCACGATACTCTAAGATTGATTACTGCAACGTTTTACATTTAAGTAAAAGAAAAAGCAAACAAACAAAATAAAAATTCAATTTTCCACAAAGTCTCAAAATTCAATTTTCATTAATTGAAACTATTTTCACTGCAGAAGAATGCTTCTTGCCTAAAGATGGTATTTATCAAAAAGCATTTTTGTTAAGTTGTTACATCATTTTACTGAAATAACTTTTGTTATAAACATGTTTTGATATATCATGGAAATTGTTTAGGTCTTAACGTTCTTTATATAAACAAATGTCAAAATGCTGTAAGATGAACTGTGAAATGTTAGCGGACAATGCTTCAGATTTTTTGGGAATAACTGACACATGTCGAAGTTTTCATTTCAATCCATTTAAAGTATTTTGTCATTTAACTCAATAGCAAATCACTCAATTGTAAAGTTTGGCTGACATAAATTAAGTACAAATATCACTTATAAATCTGTGAAATAAGAAATAAGAATTTAGCAAAAATCCCCGAAATTTTGGCAATAATAATTTTAGCGTCTACAAAACTGGATCGCAATAACCCATTTGTGTTATAGGGGGCGCCACACATCTATTCCAGCCGTTGTAGCAGTCATGTTTCTTAGATAAAATAGCCTGATGGAGACTAACCCTTTACGAAAGTGAATGGGTCAATAGAACATGACCTATGACAATACGATATATCCCACAGGCCAGATGGCTTATGGCCATATCACGTTGAAACACCAGTTCTTGTACAATCACCAAAGTTAAGCAACTTCGAGCTTGGTCAGTGCCTAAATGAGTGACCACTTGGGAATACCAGATGCTGTAAG